GGCAGTGTCACTGGCCCTCATATGTGGGATCCGAACCGGGGTCCTCTGGCATCCCAAGCCAGCTCTTAACCAACGTGCCACCCTGCTGGCTCTATATTTTAATTTTTTGGTGTCAAAGGAGAACCGAGTTCAGATTGCACCCCCCCACTAAGCTTGGCATTGTACTGTGCATACAGGAGCCTTCCCTTACCTGGAAGTCGTTCATTTGGCGAAGGTTGACCCAAGAAGCCACTGTTGAGGCTCTCGGGGGCATGCTTCGGAGCCTAAGGCGGGGATGTTGTAACCAGTAGACACCTGAGGCCCACCCGGCCAGACTACTTGGCGGCAGGGGGTGCGGTGTGTGTCGGAACAGTAGGGCGGCTCACATGTAGGACCGAAGACTGTGGGAGGGAGAATGGGGCCGTTTGCAGTGCTGTCGCCCTGGCTCCCGGTGTAAAGCTGGCTCGCGGGACCCCAGAGACCCCCGTGCAGCCGGGCCCCGCTCCTGTGCCGGCGGAGTGGAGCGCTGGGCACCGGAGGGGACCAGCCGCGGTGACCTTGGGTCCTAACTCGCCAACGTTTGGTAGATCAAACAATGACTCTTCCACGGTTGAAGTGGATGTTAATAGTGCCTGGAGCGCTTGTCTTGTTATTGGTTTTTGTCCAGTATTTTTTAGTACTAGAGTTTAAAAACAGTTGTATGGTTAAAATGCACATAATATACACGAGTAATATTCATTATGTCACTTATGTACTCATACGTATATAAATCATAGAATAAGAGGATACAAAATTTACTGTAAACGACCTCTCCCCTTGCGCATTTTTGAATATCCTCCCTAAAATCCTCTTGTTTTATAAACATGTAATGTGCTCAAAAGCAAACATAAAAGGATCATTGAGTTTGTAATGTACTGTAACTATTTTTTTACTTAATATACTTTAGGACATTTTTACTTTTTAGCACTCGTTTTCTTCCTAGTAATGGCAGCATAATACTCTGCTCCTTTACCTGTATTTGCTGTTTTCAATGGATTTCATTTTTAGGCTTCCAAGGAAGTAACATGTAGAAACTCTATTAGTTATTTTAGAGTTTAGATTATTTCTTTGTTTTAGCTGCTTGGCTCTCATTCGCTGTCTAATCTGTTGTAAACCCCCATTTAATTTTATTCATTTCAGGCTCCTGGTTCTAAGAACAAACTATTACTTATTTAAAACTGAAAGAGGATTTTATTTTTTCTCTAAGACTTCCTAGCTGATGGGGAGGCTTTATGGCTACTCTTTATTGAAAAGTATTGTTAGATTCGTGCTTAGTAAATGTTGATTAAAATTGAGATGTGCAAGTCACCGAAGTACACGATTATCAAATCAGTTATGAGGATTTCCACAGTCAGCATTTAGTAGGACCTCAAGATAAAACTGTGTTAAAGGGACCAATAAAACGGGCATTCCATTACTGCACAAGAGATCATGATTCAGCTCACAGTATAAACGTTTTGTATACAAAAACACTTTAGAGAAATAGTTTACCAAATAATACACGTTTGTATATTTAGATCCTTACAGGTGCAAAGGACAGCGATTATCATACAACTGGGGGAGAGAGGCAAAGGAAATGCTTTTCGTTTTAGATTGGGCCCCTAAACAGAAACTGCAACTTTAGTATGAAGAAGGGAAGAGGAAGAACAAGCCGGATCAGAAGACGGAAACTCTCCAGAAGTTCTGAATCAAGAGGAGGTACGAGTTTGATTTATTTTTGGTGCCAGTGATTGAAAACAGGAATCTTTTGTTGATTGGCATCAACAGATGCGCATAGCTTTTCTCAAAGGCACATGGGCACTGTTCATAGGGAATATTTCTTAAAGAATACTCTTTTTCATAGTGCCACTCTATTCTTTTTAACCCTTGTGGGAATACGAATATATTTCTCATTGCTTCGACAATGTCTTCTCTGGGGATGACTCCCAGGTTGCTGTTTGTGGTCCTGACCTCTCTCCTGACCTCTAATTACCTGTAAGATACCAATGTTTGGATAGAAATTTGTCATTTCAAGTTCAGTGTAACCCAGTTTGAACAATATCCTGTATGTGAAAGTGCTTGGCCAACTGTAAAGTACTACATTAATACAATTGTTATTTTTGATAAAAATTAATAGCACTTCTTCTGGTTGACTCCAAGCCTGTCAGCACTATCTGAGGTAACCTTTGACTGCTTTTCCTTCTTAGCCGTCTGTAGCCAGGGTCCTTGTAAAGCTTGCCGGGTCTTTCTTAGCTTAACTTCTCCCTCTCCATTGTACCCAGAGATGATTTTAACTGGCTCTTTGCTGGTTTACCTACAACCTTGTTTTCCTTCCCAGCTGCTCGTTGCATTTGTTGCTGTCAGCCTAACTTTCCTAAGGGACTGTTTCCATGTCACCTTTTTTGTTTAGGAGCCTTCAGGGATGCTCATTCCTTTATTCACGACGTCGGAACTCCTGATATCAGCTCCCTGTGTAAGTGGCCCTCGCCTGCCACTCCATGTGTTGGAAGCCTGCTCTCTGCTCACATCCCTGAGCACACCCCATACATTTCCACCTCTGCCGTTCTTCAGAACACTTCTTCAGCCTCTAGCATCTGTTTTCCTTCTCCCTGCGTGTTCATTCGCTCTCTCACTTTCAAGACTGAGCTGAGATCTTATTTTTGGTAATGCCATTTCCAATTTTCACTAATGTCACCCTTTGTTATCATGCTTATTGGGTATTATTCTTAAAGACCTACTGGTTTTCCAGTTTTTTTCACAGAAGTCTTATTTCCCGACTAGAAATGTAAGCTTTTTGAGGATGAGCATGGTGAGCAATCGCCACAGTGGGTAAAATCATGCTGGGTGTATAGTACTTGCTCATTAAATGCTCACTTATTAGATGCTCTTCCTGCAAAAGTTGTTCTCTAGGTTGGGGTAACATATTTTGGGAGCCTAATATCTTGGATCATATACAAGGTGTGATAAAAAAATACGGTGAATGTTTACATTAAAAAAATTTATTACAGTAAAAGACACATTGCCATCAATCTCCCTCAAAATACCCCCCTTGCTTTGAATACACCTATCCCATCGTTCTTGCCACTTTCTGAAGCAGTTCTGGAAGCCCTCTTTTGTGAGTGTCTTTAGTTCCACTGTCGTGGCCGCCTCAATGTCCTGAATCGATTAAAAATGTTTACCTTTCATGGTCATGTTGCCTTTAGGAAAGAGCCTGAAGTTGCATGGTGCCAGATCCGGCAAATAAGGTGGATGAAGACACCCTGTAATATTTTTATTGGACAGAAATTGCTGTACCAGAAGCGATGTGTGACACAGAGCCTTTCCGTTGTGATCACAAAATACTGTGAATGTTGCTGCCCAGTGCCATCCAACGGAAAGGCAGAGATCTTCAATATGGGAAGCGGTGCTTTGAACCTTAGTAACAGTGTGTGCAAATTTCACACAACAACAGTGCAGTCATTCGGGTGTGAATGAAGGCGTGTTTTAAAGTGTGCCGTAAAGCATCCTCCATCATGACAATGCTCCGTGTCACACATCGCTTCTGGTATATGGCAATTTATGTCAAATGAAAACATTATGGTGTGTCCTCATCCACCTTATTCATCGAATCTAGCACTGTGCGACTTCTGGCTCTTCCCAAAAGCCAACTTACCCTGAAAAGGAAACAATTTGGATTGGATCCGGGCCACCAGGCTAGCCCGGACATTCAACTAAAGACCCTTCAAAAAGAAGGCTTCCAGAACTGCTTCAGAAAGTGGCAAGAAAGATGGGATAAGTGTGTCTAAAGTGAGGGGGGTGTGTTTTGAGGGAGATGAGTGGCAATGTTTCTTTTGCTGTAACACATTTTTAAAAAAAATTTAAACATTTACCATATTGTTTGAGCATACCACGTATCTGTTCAGGTTACTGATTTGAGATCACTTAAAAAAGTTTTTATTTTTAACAGTTGTAAAAGACATGTAACATAAAATTTGCTATTTTAACCACATTTAAGTATATTTCAACAGTGTTAAGTACATTCATCTTGTTGTACAACCAATCTTCAGAACTCTTTTTCTCTTTTAAAATTGGAACTCTATTAAATAATAACTCCTCATTTCTCTCTCCCCCCAGACCCTAGTAACCACCATTCTACTTTCTGATTTCATGAACTTGACTGTTCTAGATACTTCATATAACTGGAATCCTACAGTATTTGTCTTTTTGTGACTGGCTTATTTCACTTAGCATAATGACCTCAAGATTCATTCATGTAGCATGTGCCAGAATTTCCTTTCTTTTTAAGTCTGAATAATATTCCATTGTCTATGTCTATATCTATATCTATATCTACATCTATATCAATTTATATCTATACTTATGTCTATATCTATATCTATATCTATATCTATGTATATAAATTATTTAAGATATTTAAGTTACTTCCACCTCTTGGCTGTTGTGAATAATGCTGGTATGAACATATCTCTTTGAGTCCCTGCTTTCTATTTTGGATGTATATCCAGAATTGGAATTGCTGGATCATATGATAGTTCTATTTTTAATTTTTCAGAACTGACATACTGTTTTCCACAGCAGCTGCACACTTTTACATTCCCCCCAACAATGCATAAGAGTTTCAGTTTTCCCACATCCTTGCCAACACTTTATTTTTTGCTTTTTTGATAGTAGCCATCCTAATGGGTATGAGGCGATCCCCATTGTGGTTTTGATTTGTTTCCATAATGATTAGTGATGTTGAACTTTTTATTATATGCTCACTCACTGTTGGTATGTCATCTTTGAGGAAATATCTGTTCAAGTCCTTTGCCTGTTTTTAAATTGGGTCTTCTATTTTCATTTGGCATTTACGTCTGTACATCCCCTGGGTCTCGCAGTTCTGGAAGCCAGAAGTGCAAAATCAGAGTGTCAGCGGGAATCGTTCCTTGTGAAATCTGTGACGGAAGGATGTGCTCCAGGCCTCGCTCCTTGGCTTGTACAGGGCTGTCCTCTCTCTGTCTCTTCAGTCATCTTCCCTCTGTGCATGTCTGTGTCCAAATTATTCCTTTTTATGAGGACACCAGTCACATTGGCTTAGGACCACCCTAATGACATCATTTTATCTTGATTATCTCTGTAAAGACATGTGTTAGAGGACCCATAGCTGGTGTATTAAATTAAGAGTGTGCAGATTGTGACCTGCTGCGGGAGGAGGCAGAGCCACCCACACGGGGTCAGCAGAGGGCTCCTCAACATCGGAGCTGTCGCTTTGGGGAAGTGAAAACCCCAGGGCCGTTTTGAGTGAAGGCGCATTTCAATACATTCACCCAAAGGAAGTAAAGTCACAAGGTTTGTTACTTACAGACCCCAGAAATGGAGGGCAGAGTGGGCAGGGGAAAGGGCTGTCCTCCGTCCCAGGTCAAGAGCGAGAAGGAGATCAGGACAGCAAGCACCTATTACTTATGAAGTGGATGGGGCGCTGGTCACTAACTTTTTATAGGCTCAACTCGAAGTGTTATTTTAAAAGGTGCCCTGGGAAAAGCAAAGTGGGAACTTGTGGCTGGAATCCTAGGCTGGGTCCTTATCAAACTGTCCAGACTGTGGGTGTGAGCCGGGTGTCACACTGTCCGATGCCTGGGCAGCAATTCCAAGTAGCTGTTTTCACATCACAAGACCTTGTCTCTAAATAAGGTCATATTCTGAGGTCCTGGGGGTTAGGACTTCAACATAGGAATTTTGGGGGACACAATTCAACCCATAATAGATCATTTTATTTATCTCTCTTCCCTTATAGCAGTGGCTAGAACCACCAGTACAATGTTGAATAGAAGTGGGGAGAACAGGCTTCCTTGTTCATGATCTTAGGGGGAACGCACTCAGTTTTTCATCACTGAGATGCCAGCTGTGGGTCTTTTGTTATATATTCTTTCTCAGGTTGAGGAAGTTTACTGCTCTCCTTGTTTGCTGAGAGTGTTTATCAGGAATGAATGTTAGATTTTATCTGTTGCTTTTCCTGCCTCTTTGAGATGATCATATGATTTTTTCTTTGAGATGTCATATGTTTTTTCTTTGAGATCATATGATTTTTTTCTTTGAGATGTCATATGGTTTTTTCTTTGAGATCATATGGTTGTTTTTTTTTTTTCGTTTACACTGTGTATTTAAAAATTGATTCCTTTTTTCTTTAAAGATTTTATTGGGGAGCTGGGGAAGGCAACAGTGTTGGGGAGTTTGGGAAGGGGAACATTGTGTTTTTCCAGGACCCATCAGCTCCAAGTCAAGTTGTTGTCCTTCAATCTTAGTTGTGGAGGGCGCAAGCTCAG